TTTGCAATGCATTCCAGTGAACTTGGTAAATTGGTAAGTCCTTATCATCGATGCTATTACCAGCAATTCTACTCTCTACACCACAATTTAGCTATGACACACTACACTGCACTGGAGATCTTAGTGCTAATTCTAATTTGTACTACTAATACAATCCTGAAGTCAGATAGAGGGAATAATTGTGAAAGATCAGAGAAGCAGAGCAGCCAGAATCCTGAAGTCAGATAGAGGGAATAATTGTGAAAGATCAGAGAAGCAGAGCAGCCAGACCCTACTTCTTACCTCTACTGACTCATCACACCAAAGGAGATATCCTGTCCCTAGGAACATTCAGACCAAACACAATGAGTCTCTCTTGTCTTCTGCCTTATTATTCTCTCTCCACCTAAGTACGTTACTCCTGTCTCCATCTCCCAAGTACTGGGATAATGGCTTGAGCCACCACTGCCTTTTTTAGACTGAATCAATATGGTGTGGTCCAGGGTGGTCTTGAAATCACAAAGATCCATCTGCCTCTCTGGCTTCCAAGTGCTGGGATTAAAGTTGTGCTGCACCATGGCTTGGCCTCTATGACTAACTTCTGCCTAGCTCCACATTCTGGCCTTCAGGCAAGTTTTGTATTTTTGTTGTTGTTTCTTTTAGTTTTTGCTTGGTTTGTTTCTTTGCTTGTTTGTTTTTCTTTTTCTTCTTGAGACAGGATTTCTCTGTGTAGCTTTGGAGCCTGGTCTGGCTCTAGCAGGAACTCCCAAAATCCACCTGCCTCTGTATCTCATGTGCTGGGATTGAAGCTGTGTGTTACTGCCACCCAGCAAATTCTGTTTGTTAAAGCACAAACAAAATATCATGACATGTGTAGAAACCGTATACAGAATCTACAAAATTAATGCCATCTGGATCCTACTGAGGTGATGGGGATCATCCTTCAGCAATACATGATAAGAGTGCTTTTAACTTTCTGCTTCCTCCACCTACAATGGCATGATTCAGAAAAGTTGAGTTCTATGAAACAAAAGGAATTTCTGAATTGCAGAAGTTTCTCAAGTATGCATGATGACAGGTTAGTGGCTAGAGCAGATTCCATGTGTTGTGTCATGATACATGTGGCAAGAAGCAGACTTTAAATTATTCTTCCATGTTATTTTCTTTGTGGGCATCAATGGGTCTGGGTTTGCCTCAAACCACAAGGGGTCGTGAGCATTTGCAGCACCATAGTGAGAGGTTACTCCATTTGTAGAGAGAGCTCTAAGCCAAGGGATGTCTCTTTTTGGAAGAAATACCTTTGGCTGGAGGGTCAGAAGCAGAACTGTTTATGTGTGCTTTGAAGTTAATTTTGTGGGAGTTGTAAAGTCTGTTTATTTAATTTCTAAACACATAGAATCAAGGGTAGTTGGGTAGCATTGGTCAAGATCTCAGTTTTCCTGGCTGAGTTTCTTCTGGTCTTTTGATGAAAAGTTGATTATATTTTCCTGCTTTTGTTCTAGTCTTTTTTCTCTCCACCCCCTTCATTCTTTCCCAAATATTGTATGCCTTCTCAGTTCCTGTAGATTTGTTGTAATTATACAAGTCACATTGTATCAATGTGTGTACTATATTTCTTTTACAATCCTCTTGAGAATTCTGTTTCCAATTTGCATATAGCTTTGGAATCAGATGTCCTGTTATAAGGTATTGGGAATTTTCTGTGGATTGTATTTTGTTCATGTTGAAAATTTACCTTATATGGTATCTTAATATCTAGTTCCCAAGGATTATACACTTCTTTCTTTATGTGGGTTCTTCTATTCTTCCTGCTTTGAATCTGTGAAAGACTTTACTGTTTTGCCTAGAAAGCACTGTTGGGCTTGTCTGGTGGATCAATACATATTCTTCTTGGGAATGACTTGAGTTCAGGTCCCAACACCCAAATTTGGAGGCCCATACCTACTGGCATTTCCAGATAGGATATCAGACACCCTCTTCTCTGGTATGTCACATGTACACATGTGGAAAACTCTCACACACAAATTGTATATACAAAAATTGGATGAACTTAATTTCAAAATTACTCTTGCTTATAAAGAAATGAGAGCAAAACCAGTAATTTTGGGTATATAATACAAATTATACACTTTTCCCTTTAAAATTTATTTAAAAAAATAATTTTAGCCAGGCGTTGGTGGTGCATGCCTTTAATCCCAGCACTTGGGAGGCAGAGGCAGGTGGATCTCTGTGAGTTCAAGGCCAGCCTGGTCTACCAAGGGAGTTCCAGGACAGCCTCCAAGACAATACAGAGAAACCCTGTCTCGAAAAATCAAAAAAAATAATAATAATTTTAGTTTACATACAAACTCCAGTCCCCTCCTTCCCATCTCCTTCCCTTGCCTCTCTCCCTTACTCATTCACTCCTCAGAGGGGGTAAGGTCTTACTGTGGGAGTCAACAAAGTCTGACAAATGGAGGAAGGACCATACTACTCAATCCTGTATCAAGACTGAGCAAGGCATCCAACCATATGGAATAGGCTGTAAAAAATAAAGTTAGTTACCTGGCATGGTTCCTGGTTTCATTGCCAGGGCCTCCCCAAGAGGTCAAGCCATATAACTGTCACTACATTCAGAGGGCCTAGTTTGGTGCTATGAACTACCCCAGCTATAAGTCCATAGTCTATGAATTCCCAGAAGTGACAATATTAGGAAGTATGGCTTTATGGGCATTGGCTTTTCAGAATGCTGTCCAATGTGTCAGTCCAGTTCCTGTTGCCTTTGAGTTAAGTTGTATGGACTCTAACCTGCAGCACCACATCTGCCTTTACGGTGCCATGTCCCCTCCCATGATGAAGATTAACTGAATCTGCGAAATGTTTAGAGAGACACCTCAACTAAATGTTTTCTTTGTATGAGTTGTCATGGTTCATGGTGTCTCTTTACAGCAACAAAATCTAACAAACACCAGTTGATACTAGGTGCTGGGGTATTTCTGTGATAGCCTATCATAGAATTTCTCTGATGTATTCTCCGTAGTGTTGATCTGTTACCTTGCTTCTGCCTTTATATCTGTTCATTGGGATTTCTTTCTCAAGGCTATATGCTATTTAAAGGGCTGAGCAATGGTGCATGTGAACCTCCTACTCAGTTTCTTTCTAAAGTAACCAGGTGACTACATTATAATGTCTAAGTCATGAAATAAGTGTGGGAAGAACCATAATTATATGAATACACTATGGAAGAAGCATACATTTACAATGTAAGTAACAAAATTCTTGTATTACACATGTATGGGTTAGGATGCAGTGACCTATGCTGATGTGTATATCAACTTTACTCTGGAAGAGTGGGCTTTGCTGAATCCTTCCCAGAAAAACCTCTACAAAGATGTGATGCTTGACACGTACAGGAACCTCACTGCCATTGGTAAGACTGAATTTTCCTTCATGATTTAATATGAGACAACACTTCCTTCATGATTTAAAATAAGGGGAAGATTTCTTCTTGGTTATTAATACTCTTCTGTAATTTTGATTGAGAAAAGCGAAAGTTAAGAGAATAAGACATATTTCTAATGTTCATTGAATATATTAATTTGAACTTTGTACAATTTCCATTCATACATCGTATTTTATGATATTGTATTTTAGGCTACAGTTGGGATGACCATGATATTGAAGAAATTTGTCAAAGTTCTAGAAGCAATAGAAGGTAATTTTCATGTAAAGGGGTTATACAAATTTGCTTCTGCAGAAATTTTAATGTGTCCTGGAAGGTTTAAAAAAAAGCAACAGTATACATAATCACAGCTTGAAGTGTATTAATAATTCTTAATTTCTCACCAAAACATGTACCTCAATGTCAGGTAGCCATTCTGTGTTTCCAAGGCATTGCTATGAAAAGAAGACAAGGAAACAATGCCTTAGAAGATACCACTATTTGAATATAGCCCTATGAGAGCTATGCTGTAGAAATGCCAATCCATTTAGTTTCATACCACTCAGACACTTTAAATTGTATCCATATTGAATAGGTGGTAACTGTATGTCCAAAACCATCTAAGAAAATAGTCTATAGTGAGGCTATCATTACTCAAATATTTATGACTTTGCAAAGTATATGGAAAAGGTCAGTTTATGAGAGGTTAGGATGTTGTGGAGAAAACTTAATCCCTATTCCATGTGTCTGTGAGGAAAAGAAAGTTGAATGGTGTGAATACAATGTAGAAGTCTTTCATTTTTTATTCTTCTTTTTATAAGAATACCATGCCCAGCAGGGCATGGGTAGGGCACACTATTAATCCCAGCACTCAGGATGCAGAGGCAGTTGGATCTCTGTGAATTGGAGGCCAGGCTTGTCTATAGAGTGAATGACAGGACAGTCTCTAAAGCTACACAGAGAAACCCTGTCTTGAAAACCTAAGAAAAGAAAAGAATATCATATGTCACTATAAATACAATTCATGCAAGCTTTATGCTACATGAAAATTCTCACATAAAAAGATGCAATAAATACCGGACATAAAATGAAGGCTCTTATTATCACAGGTATCTTCAAAGCCACAAAACAACCCATCACAAAAGGAAACATCAAGAATGTAAAACTTAAGATCTGATTCCTCTTTATAATTAGGCCAAAGTCTAAAACTAAAGAGATAATAAGATTCATCACTATAATAATTATGGTAAAGGTTTTACAAATGCCAATTGTCTTTACAGGAATGAAAGAAGGCATAAGGGATAGAACTCTGTGAATATACTTAATGTGTTAATATACATTGTATGTTACAGGCATCTTCAAAGGCATGCAAAAATTAATACTGGAGAGAAACCATGTGGAAGTCTTCAAAACAGTGAAGTCTTTGTATGTCACAATAGTCTCAAACTCCATAAAAGAACACATACTGGAGTGAAAACCCATGAATGTAATGAATGTGGTAAAGTCTTTGAAAGTCACGGTCACCTTCAAATACATAAAAAAACACATACTGGAGGGAAACCCTGTGTATGTAGTCAGTGCGGTAAAGCTTATTCTCGAGTCAGTTGTCTCCAAATACATAAAAGAACACATACTGGAGTGAAACCCTATGAATGTAATCAATGTGGTAAAGCTTTTGCAACTTGTGCTGTGCTTAAAAGACATATAAGAACACATACAGGAGAGAAACCCTATGAATGTAATCAATGTGGTAAAGGTTTTGCAAGTGGTGGTGAGCTTAAAAGACATATAATAACACATACAGGAGAGAAACCCTATGAATGTAATCAATGTGGAAAAGCATTTTCACAATACTCTAGACTCCAAATACATAAAAGAACACATACAGGAGAGAAACCCTATAAATGTAATCGATGTGGTAAAGCTTTTTCACAACGTGGTAATCTTGTAACTCATGAAAGAACACACACTGGAGAAAAACGCTATAAATGTTGTCAATGTGGTAAGACCTTTTCAACAGCAGGTAGTCTACAAACACATAAAAGAATACATACTGGAGAGAAGCCCTATGCATGTAACCAGTGTGGTAAAACATTTTCAGAATGCTCTAGACTCCAAAAACATAAGAAAACACATACTGGAGAGAAACCCTATGAATGTAACCAGTGTGGTAAAGCTTTTTCACAACAGCCCAATCTCGCAGCTCATAAAAGAAGGCATACTGGAGAGAAACCCTATGAATGTCATCAATGTGGTAAAGCCTTTGCATATCGCCATTATCTTCAAGCACATAAAAGAATACATACTGGAGAGAAACCCTATGAATGTCATCATTGTGGTAAAGCCTTTACCTTTCAAGAAAATCTCATAAGGCATGAAAAACTGCATACTTGAGAGATACCCTGTGAATGTAACAAACATGGTAAAGCATTTGTATGTAATATCAGTCTTTAAAATCATGACACAATCATACTGCAGAGAAACCCTATAAATGTAAGCAGTGTGGTAAAGTTGTTCACTTTGCTTATCACAATAATCATTGGAGGCCTGAGAAAATTCATACTGAAAGGAACCTTGCTATAAAGGTTTTGGTAAGATCTTCAGCCAACACACATTTCATTACACAAGATTTTTGAGGGGAAAATTATCTCACAAGTGTCAATAGTCTGATCAAGCATTGCAATATCTCTATTTTGCTTGCCCATTTAAGCTCGTGTGGACAAATGTCTTATGAATTAATTGATAAGGTAACCCTTTTGATTTAACACTTTTCTTTAATTTCACGAAAAACCTCATTGAGATTAGTTAATTTCTCTAAACTCAATCCTACATGCTTCCTTTCTATTATGTGAACCAATTCATGATGAATGGGAATTGTTAAGACCTTAAATGCCTCAACAAATGTGTTATAGGAATGACTGCTTACAAGAGTAAATATTCACATGTGAAAACATGTTTGGTTAGAGACTTGATTTAATTTTAATGATGTGATGTCAGTGTGTGGCTTTGTGACTTCTCATGCTTTTTCCCAAGATGCTTGAATATTCCTGTAGCAGAAACTAAAGAAAGTTCTCAAAAACCTGACTTAGTTCCTGGCAATGAACTTGTCATAATTTTGCTTGTCCAGATCTCTAACCCTGTACATATTTTAAGTGCTTTTTGTATGTTCCTGATGTTAGATAATAGGGAAGAACTAACCTCAATTCATGTAAACAATTTGGTAAAGACTTTAGATTAAATAAAAAATATTGTTTTGTGTGAAGGTGGAGCGTTAATGAGTTTATGAGACACAAGGCAAATGATAAATGGGTGTTTCATTGGGGGAGAACTTACACAGATAAAAGTAAAGAACCACCACAGTGTTCTTTCTCCAGAAGATGCTGTCTCTGCCATTCTGACACAATGAACAAAACAAGAGAGAGAGAGACAGCCAGTGACAGAGTGATTGTATTATGCTTCTCTACCTTCTGGTTAGGTACACAGAACCAAAGGCACAAAACAGGAGACTGCAACATATCCAGGTCTACTGGAGGCTATGATTGGCTAGTGTGGCCTGAGTGACAGGAGCAGGTGAGCAGGAGACACACAGCACAAAATTTAATTTGTGCAATGAACCCCTGTGTGGACCCAGGGTAACATATGACCAGAAACCATGAGCTGAATCTGGAGGTGGAGGCTTTTACATTCCCTTGGGGTAGGTGCGGGAATAAGCAGCATTTTATGGGCAGAGTATGGACAGAGGTGACTCCAGGTGTTTGCCCACACTTGGCACCTTGAAGGAAGGGTTTGGATAGAGCAACCAAACACTCCAACCTCTTTGTGTAGGTATAGAAGCCAGTAGGGCTTCTACCTAAGCAACCTTGACTCCCTGTGTTTAGGGCCTTGGTTTATTTCTGGCTTCTTCCTGCTGTCAAGGGACGATGTGGGGAGTCAGGACATGGTGGGATCACATTCAGCAAGAGGTATGGGTGAAGTTTTCCCTTAGATGCCAACCTGTAGACCACAGGCATCAGTTCCTTGAGGAGGTGGAGAAGGCAGGTTGGGTTAAGGTTCTGCAAAAAAGGGAGATGCAGGTGGAGAGAGGCTAGAGCATGTCCAGTGTTTTGTAGCACCATTGAAAACCTCACCCTCTGGGTGCCAAGGGAACCCTGTATTCACCTCAGTTCATTCTCCACCCTTAAAAAGCTTTGGTGGTGCATGCCTTTAATGCCAGCACTTGGGAGGCAGAGGCAGGTGGATCTCTGTGAGTTCAAGGCCAGCCTGATATACAGAACTAGTTCCAGGACAGCCTTCAAAACAATACAGAGAAACCCTGTTTCAAAAAACCAGAAAAAAAAAGCCTGCCATTGGCTGAGCTTTGGTGACACTTTAATCTCAGCACTTAGGTGGCAAAGGCAGGTGGATCTCTGTGAGTTCACAGCCAGCCTGGTCTACAGAGTGAGTGACAGGACAGCCTCCAAAACAATAAAAAGAAACCCTGTCTAGAAAAACAAATGAAAAATTCAGCCACTGACACCCAAAGAAGGAAAAAGGGACAAGAGCTACTAAATAGATTGGAAGCATGGGGGTTGGAGGGGAAAGGCAGGAAGGAGAAAGAGGAGGGGAGCAGAGAATGAGGGAGAAGTACATGAGGGAGCTGGAAGATTGGGTCAGCGGAAGAACAGATAACAGCAAGAAAAGAGATACCATAATAGAGGGAACCACTATACATTTAAATTGAAATCTGACACTAAGTAAATATCTAGAGATCTACAAGGATGATCTCAACTAACAAAGCAATAGTGGAGAGGCTGCCATAAATGCCCCTCCCCTATAATTAAATAGACTACTACCTTGTATGCCATCCTAGAGCTTTCCTCCAGTAGCTGATGGAAGCAGAAGCAAAAACGTACAGCAAAGCAGTGAGCTGAACTGCTGGAATCCATTTGTAGAGAGTGTGGAGGGATGAGCAAGCAAGTCAAAACCAGTCTGGGGAAACTCACAGAAACAGCTAACCTAAGCATGTGGAATTCATGGGCCCCAGACTGATAGTGTACAATATGGTCTTTCTAATTGAAATATAATTTATAAAATAAAAAATAGGCAGATGGGGTGGTAAATACCTTAACTACCAAATGCCAATGCCATATCCCTGAAGCTCTGAAGCTTCATGGAAGATTATGGACACTGTCCTTAAATAGTCAGTCTCCATTTGTTCTGTGCTCCTGCCCCCATACCCTATTGACCATTTTCATCTTGGATGACTTTGAAATGCTGAAATTCCTACCTCTACTTTCTGGGGACCATGATTACAAGCCTCTGCCATTATGCCTGACTTAGTAGGCTTCAACTTCACTTAGTGAGGCATTAGAATGATGGGGTGAGTAACATGTGGAGTTGCACTTAACTATGTTCAAAATCTACTTACCTACGTGAGCCTGTGTTTCACCATCTGCAGAATAAGGCAGAACACTTCCCAGGTCTTTGATTAACTATAACCAAGCCCATGACAAGAAAAAAATCAAATTTCTCATAGTTGGAAGAGAGTAGACTTTAAGGTGGAAAGGTTGCATTTGATGGGTATCTTCTTCTGTTACTGGAGTTAGGACTAGAGCTTGTGTCCTAGGTACCCTATTTAGCCAGGCTCAGTCAGTTATCCTCAGAAAGCCAATAAAATGAATCAACTTATCTAGTGACATGTCCAACTATAATGCAGGCACTCTGGAGTCAAGATGGACAGATCTCTTTGATGTCCTAGGACGTCCTAGTCTATAGTGTGAGTTCTATGTCAGACAGGGAATCACAGTAATACTATTCTTAAAAAGAAAAGAAAAATAATACAAAAGGAGAATGAGAAAATTAATAATAATGTAAAACATATTTACTGAATTTGACTAATTTGAAACAATAAAGAAATATTCAGTAAATCCATTACTGAGGTCCTAACGGGCTTAGATAGAAGGCAAATGTATTCAAAACTAATATAAAGAAGTGAAATAATGAATTTTCCCCATGTCTAAAACAGCCTTACTATCTCAGTTCCTTTTTATTCTGTAATGTGGTCAGATAAGACTCCAATAGAGACATTTTCATTTGGAAGACTCAAGAATTTTCCCACAAAGAGATTCCCAGAGAAATTAGAATTCTATGTGTCTATTGTTTGACTAATTGTAGGCCAAAAGTAGACCCCATGAAGTTGACATCTGGTCTCCATATAACTGTAATGGTCTAAACACCTGTAATCACATTGAAGGAACAGACATATAATGGAAAAATTTGTTTTATTTTTAATAAATCTCAAGCCATGATATAATAAAGCATCTCTGCATAATCCCCTTTGAAGGCAGTACTTCAAGATGCTGTACCTTATGGGAAAATAATGGGGACATGAGGCAGCATGAAATTTTAAAGGCGAGGTAAATGGACATGGCTGTCCCTTTTGCCAGCCAGGGACACATTGGGGAAAATCAGAAAAGAACTGATGGGGAATAGTCCCAGGAAGCTTTAATTACAGTATCAATTTATAAAGTTTCTTTAAGAACAGGGGACTGTAGTCAAGGCTAAAATCATGGAAGGCTTTCTAAAATGGATTGAATGAGAGAGTCCATGTTTCATTACTGCAGGAGGCTTAAATGTCCCAGATTGGGAGGAAGTTAGCCATGATCTTCAGAGAGTCGGGTGTTGGTGGCACACAACTTTAATCCCAGCACTCCGGAGGCAGAGGTAGGTAGGATCAAGGCCATCCTGGTCTATAGAGCTTGTTCCAGGACAGCTTCCAAAACAATAGAGAGAAACCCTGTCTCAAAAAAGAAGGTAAAATAAAAATAAAAATCTCCAGCCTTTCGCTTGATCAACTGAGGTCAGGAAAATAAAGGGGAACTGAGAGATCTAAAAGGTTGGCCAGCAAGTAAGGCTATGAGGATGTATTAAAAAGGGGTACCAAGCTAGGGGCACCAGATTAAATCTCCAGGCCTTCATCCGACAAAGGTCAGGAAAGTAAGGGGACCCTGAGAGATTGCCCTCAGTTGGAGGGTGGATTGAATAAATCTCCAGGCTTTTGCCTGAGGGATAATCCTCAGTATGAGGATGGATTGAAAATAGGTGGAAAAGGGGTACCAAGCTAGTGGTACCAGGTTAAATCTCCAGGACTTAGCCCAACGTCAAGGTTGGGAAAGAAAGGGGAACCTGAGAGATTGTCCTCAGTTGCAGGATGGAATTGATTAAATCTCTAGGCTCTCACCTGAGGGATCATCCTCAGTTGGAGGATCAATTGAAAATCGGTGAATTGAAAAACTTGGTAATCAAAAGTCTCTATTTCTGAGCTCAAGGAAGCCCTCAGGATATGAGGATTTAGGGTGAAAAAGAGGGATCTTGTGCTTTTCTTATGAGGAACATGTGTTATAAACAAAGATTTA